GTGGTCAGCGTGGTGCTGGGCCAGGCGGACCGGCGGCTGGTGCCCTACCTGCTGGACCTGCACTCCATGCACCAGTTCCGCCAGGACACCGGTGAGTGCGCCGGGCCGGGCCTAACCTGGGTCGCCCTGGGCTGGAGGAGCCCGGCCCGGATTGTCCTGCCCCGTCGCGGGGCGTTCTGCTGCCCTGTAGCGCCCTGGGCCGTATCCGGCTGTATTGCCCGGAGCGAGGGGCACTGGGAGAGCTGCCAGGAGGGGAGGGAGCCCAGGGCTGGGATAGTAGGGACTGGGGGGTTAGGGTTGAGGGGTATGGGCAGAGCTGGGATAGTAGGATTGGGGGGACTGAGGCTGGGGGACAGAGCTGAGGGGAGTTCTGGGCTGGGATAGCAGGGACTGGGGGGGTTGGGATTATGGGGTACTGATAGAGCTGGGGGGATTCCTGAAGTATGGCAGGTGGGTTAGTGTCACTTTCAGGCCTTGGGGGCTGGTGTTCCCAGCCCAGCTGCACTTGGGCTCCCTGCGGGGAGACAGTCCCTGTCTGGCAAGGGGAAGGATGGGGGTGCGTGGGTGTCTGAGAACAGGAATATACCCAAGGGCTTGCCTGGGAATCCCTGGGCATCTGTGAGCTCACAGGGAGCTGGGGAATACCTAGTGCATCCCTAAAGGAGCAGTGGGGAAGAGGTTGCAGGTGGGGCAGTTACCCCAGGATGCAGGGTGTGGGGCAGTGTGAGCCTAGCCTGGCACACTTCTGTGGGTGGCCAGTGCACCTGGGGAGGATGTGGTGGAGCCTGGGTCAGAAGGGACTAGAACTGGAAGGGGGGGAGATGGCAGCATGGGGGGAGTTGGGAGCCCAGGATGGGGAATAGCTGGGGGAAGTTGGGGTGCCAGTAGACCCCAGCTGGGGTCGGGAGACTCTGGCCAGCAGAGGGGCTCCCCGCTTTGTAATGAAGGGGGGGTGCTGCCTCTTGGCTGAAGCTGCTGCAAGGAGAGGGTGGTGCAGAATGAGGCTGTTAGCATGTGGGGAGGGCATACGCAGCCCCAGCTGGCGACTGTGGGGCTGAGATGGTCCCCTTCCCAGCTAGCCACTCTGCTTGGTGCAGTGCCGGAGACCTCAGTGGCCCTGGCCATGCGTGGCCGGACATGATGCTGGGGAAGATGGGCACTGTGCCCCCAGCGCTGGGTGTTCCCATGTGGGATCGATTGTGGTCTGTGGCCGCTCCCGCTCTGGGTTCCTCTTCCCTGATGGTGCGACCCTCCCTGTCCCCCAGCCTTCCCACTGGCCCTGCTTGGTCTGGGCCTTCTCTGAAATAACCCACTCAGTGGGCTAGTCGCCATGGAGACCAGGGCAAGTTGTTGGTCCAGGTTCATTGGGGCCAGATTGTCCTGTGGAGACCGGCTAGAATACACCCCC